GCACTGAGCCCTATTTGCAACCTGACAAAAATTCTTGTCTCAGGAGAGCTGAATGCACCGATATCTGTGAAGGTTTTGTGTGTCTCCTTCTCTGGTCTTGAAATAGGTTATGCTGCACTTTCCTGATGCTGTCAGTGAAGTTTGTGCATGCTTGCATAGCAAAGAAATCTTTCTGATATTTGTCTCATATTTTGCATCTTTTTGCCATCCTTATCTTCATACATTTGAATGCAGCCTGTGGAAAGTAGCAATATTAGGAAACCAGTGCTAAATCACTGCCAAATAAAATGTCAACAGAAGGTATATGCATCACTTACGCCCAATCGTACGCTGCCTGCTCAGCATCCGGCTGACATTATTTGGGATGCTGCCACAAACAGCAATGGGAGTTCAGGCTGCTTCTTGGTTTGCCTTCCTTCTTAGTCACTGGGATGACTGCTGTTCTCGAGTCCCTGGGTGTCCCATGTTCTCTGAAGAAGGGAAAGTCTGCCATTAGAGACTCAGTACGACCATTTTCCCAAAGGAAGACGGCTGCTGGGAATGTAAATAAAACTCCCAAGTGATGCAAGTGAAGGAGAGTTCATCTGAGTTAACCACCGATAATGAAGTGGTTTTACCATCTCTGACTATTATAATCCTGTCAGTCAACAAACCCATGCCAGCTGAATATGCTGCATCATTTGGATTTCCACTCCAGCTATTTTCTTTTCTCTGCTAAATCTTCACGATTTCCCCTCGAGCACAAACAGCAAGTGAAGAAGGAGAAAAGGAGGATAAATTGGAAAAGCACAGGGAAAGGCCAGGGGCTAGGGGATTGTCACTCAGAAAGCATGTTCTTTCCATCGGACTGACACATTACAGGCACAGATCCCACATTCACTGGTGTAAGTGAAACCATCTGTGCCACAGATCTGCTGCGGCACTTGGCCAGGGGGCCCTGACTGGCTGTCCTCAGCGATGCGCCTGGGGCACGTACTAGGCTAAGCCCTGATGGGAACAGAGGGGAAAAAAAAAGAGTTTAAAGCAATAAATTTTCAAACATTCCTCATTCTTCAGGGGGCTCCAATGAAATTGAGGTTTTGCTTCTATGAATTAAAAATAGGCAGGAAGGAATACATTATGTGAACGCTCTTTGTTTGCAAATTCACAGTATGTTTAAACTTATGGGGCTGCACCTCAGCTGGTGAAAATCTGGAAAACCCTCCTCGGCTGAGTGGATGTCTGCCAGCTGGAGACAGGCTCCCTTCCGCTACTGCTTTCTGCTTTTTTCATATCTACTCGTTGATCAGCAAAGAGCACACGACTAGAGCCCAGAGCATGGCAAAGAACCAAATAAAATTGTATCAAACATTAAATTACAACAAGAGAATGAACATTTCTGAGTGTGAACATACTGTGGATGAAATGGTTGGAAATCGGGATTATATTATCTTAAATATAGAGGTCTGAGAAAATTTTTTTCAGTTCCCAAACTATTTCCTTTGCTAGCAGCCAGTTAAATAGACCTGTGTGACTGATAAAACGAGTTTGTATAATTATTTCTGATTTTTTTTAAGAACATATAGTTGTAAAGGGAAAAAAAATCATTTAAATATTCTTCTGAAAAGAGAACTGTTTTAAAAAAATCAGTGGGATGAGCCTTGTCATTCTCAAGCATCCCTCAAGAGAGTGACAGGGTATCTCAGCCCATCCACATGCCTCTCTACCAAATGCAGCATATGAAAAAAAGCTAAACCAAGGGAAATTATCAGCAGATGTTATTTTGAAAGGTATGGATTCTTTAGTAAAGTGTTTGAATTAATTTTAGGTACAGACACTGTCAAGGAAAAGTTGGGGTTTTTGTCAAGTCACAGATGGGTGAGTGCTGATATATACCATGCTGGTAAACAGTGACAAAAAAAAAATCTTTCGGCTCAATATAAAAAGAGTAAGGATTGTTTTCTAAAGCCCACTTCTCAATCAATAATTAAATGATTCACTTCATTCTTCCTCCTCTTTGTGTTGTAAGAAAAATGACTGTAGACTCAGAAAACATTGATAAGGCTATAAAGATAAAGTTAAACAAACAAGGAAGGAGAGAGGACATTTATATTTTTAAACTATTGCCTCTGCCCATGTGTACCAGCACATTTTCCAGTCACAAAGCCTGAGGCCGGACCATCATCAGTGTGAAGTACATAGAAGTTTGTCAGCCCTTGGCACTGCTCAGGACCTCGGTCCCCGCTCTCCAGAGCTGGAGAGCTGTGGTAGTGGCTGCAAGGCAGCATGCGGAGCCGGACCAGCTGCTTTTCAGCAGTAAAATTTAGATACCTGATGTTGCAGTCATAGCATGCATTGGAAAGTGAGGTTTTTCCTCATTGCATCCTTGACTGAGGGTCTAAGGCTGCAACTATTTCTGTCCACAGCAAGAGTGCAAATATGATAGTCCACTGAAGCAGGACTAAATCGAGGCTCGTATCTGATCCTTTTAGTGCCTCTTTCCAAGTTAAAAAAATAGGCTTTCATAGCATGAAAGGTGAATTGTCTTTGAAAGTGACCTGACCACTTTGAAGCTGCTCAGGCTTTGCCCAAGATGAGTAAGAAAATCAGCGTTGGGGCTCTGCAGCATTGTGCACCTGAGAAGTGATGAAGCAGTAGGCTAAGCAGCACCAAAGCATCCATCATCCTCATGCTGGAGACAGTTACTGAATATATTTGAAATCTGGCAAGCACTGAGCTGATAAGATGATCTCTTGGTGCTCTCCAGCACAGGAATCTAACCAGCCATTCCTCTATGTGTGGCCAAGCAGGCATCCAGCTCAGTCAGCTGTACCTTAAAACCACCTTTCAAGTCTCCTAGTGACACTTTAAACTTGGTATTGTTCTACCTCTCTCCTAAGCCACAAAAATTTCAATGCTTCATTTTGGATGAACTCATCTTTGCCTGATTATTGCTTTATCATCAACAAGAAGCAGAAATAAATCATCTCATTAACACACACTTGGTAACTAACCCTGGAACAACTGAAAAACAATTCCCAGGCACAGAAAACAGCTCTGTCCCTAAGAAGGCGGCTGTCCTACTTTTAGAGAGTTATACTCCTTCATAAAACACCCCCTGAGCCTGGGGGATATTTAAACTCCAACGTCAGGCTTTTCCCATTTTCTGGCCCAGTTTTAGTGATTTATTCCACCATACACTTTTACATGAAACCTACTGGTTAATACTGTATGGAAACCTGTGTCTAATAACCACTTTAGCTTCTTCCCTGGATTGCTCTGACTTATCTCAATTTTATGTCTCCTTGAGTTTGTGTTTGCCTTTGGTGTCATCAGACAACAAGCTCCACAGAGGAGGCTTTGGCATGGCTGTGCCCAGCTAATGCCATTCAGTTGGATCTTGAGAGCTTTACTGCAAAGGCTTGCAAAAGCCAGCGGTCAGAGCTAAGGCCAAGTGAAAGTCTGCCAAAGTCCACACAAAAAATTATTCAGGTCTTACCTTTGAGGATAACCAAATAACACTTAAACAAGACTAAAGCAGCATGTTCTGCAGAAACACCTCAGAAAAAATGGCAAAAAGGTTATATAAATGAAAGGAACATTTACATTAGGACACAGAACCAAGAAAAGTACAATAAGCCATTGTTAGTTACAAATCATTGTGAAAGGTACATGCCAGCCATGGACTCCAATAGCACAGAGGTACTACGGCCTTATTCCCTGATACAATACCCACAGTATCTCCAAGTCAGGAACATTTGCCTTCAGCCTATTCATCTAGCCTGACAATTCAAAGAATGACTTTCTAAACAGATCTAAATAGTTGTGTTATTCTCTGGTAAACTACAATGGGACATTGAATCAGGGGAGGCACTGAATCAGGTTAAACCCTGAAAAATTTGACTTGCAATAGCTTTGGTGACCTGGCATGGAGCTAGTGATAGTGGCTGTACCCGTGTTGCCAACAGATGAAGGGCAGCCCCCAGGTCCCCCTACCTCCTTGCCATCCATACAGACACCAGAGTTACAGCGATTGTATCACCCAGTCCTGAGCTCTTTGGCCTCAAAAAAGTAGGCAAAACGTGACTATCGGGCAGAACTGCTTTCCTATGACTTGCTGTATATTCAGTTAAAACCAGTAACAAGTGAACCTCTCTGTCCTTTTCCTTCCCGAAAGGCTTTAGAAGGCAGGTGGCTGCAGCGATGGCTGCACCAGGGCTGTCCCCCACCCCAGGGGTGATATCTGCCCACTAGGCCCAGAGATATTCTGTTGCATTAATAAATCAAGATATTTCATAAGTGGACTCTTCTACTGTTTGTGACCCTGAATGGAGCTCAACATTCCACTCCCATAGATGATGTCCTATAACAGCACATGGCACTGAGGTCAATTCAGTGGAGACAAGCTGGGATCACCTTTCCTGACAGCAGCTGCTGCCTTTTCCATGGGACAGGCTGCACAGGCAGTGGGAAGCAGGACAGGGACACCTCTTGGCTAGGCAGCAAGGTTCCCTTTCTAGCCCACAGGAAGAAAGCACTCTTCTTGAGAGCAACCACCACCTACATCCTAGACATTGCCCAGTGGAGGAGGCAAACCATGCCTTTGAGGTGAATGTTTCCTTGTGCTGACTGTAAAGATGGAGTCTGTGATCAGGTCATACAGAGATATTAATGGTTAGATGAGACTAATACTGACAAGGAGACTCTGAAGAGTAAGGAAGTGCCAGGGAGCTCTAAGGGGAGGCCAGACCTGGGCAGGGATGGCACTGACACATGGCAGGAAAAGATTTACCCACATTGTTTGGTAGAGCAGAACATCAATAGAAAAACACATATACACTCAGGGAGGAGAAGGGGCAAAAGGGATGAGACAGAGAAACGTTGCCAAGTGAGTTTATTGAGCAAGTGTTTCAGGAGCTAAGGAAACAAGACAAAATGAAGGCAAGTTGCTGGGGAAGATCAGCCCATGGGAAGTCATGTGCAAGGGAGCTTGTCTTCCTGGGATGGACTCCAGCACAGACTTAACATTCAGTCATACTCATGAGCTTGAGAGTCCTACTGCTTCTCCTGGTGAGAAAAGGAGAGACAAGCATTAGACACAGAGCATATTCAGTGCTGAAGCCCTGTTCCTTCACTGACCCCATGATGACATAGTGTTGGTTGGAGATAAAGAACAGTCTCAAAAGCCCAAACACTCCCTTTCATTATTATCATTAAAAGAAAGGTGAGAAGTTTCACACATTTGATACAATCCAGTTGGTTTGGTGAAGTATTCTCCACATGCCTTGATGAGCTTGTGGGACAGATTATGTGCTGGTGAAAGTGAGTACAATATCATGGAAGTTAACAAACAAGAGACCACAAACAAATCACACAGAAATGGGCCTTTCACATATTCCCTTAAAATGCAAAAAACCAATTTTCTTGCACAAGTCATGGTGCACCAGAGGTGTCCTGTAACTGCCCATAAGCAGTTAGTCAAAAACACATTATGAAAACAGCTCTGCATTCATGCTAGGTACGGGAATTGATCAGGAAAGGAAAGGTACGGGAATTGATCAGGAAAGGAAGGGTTTTGTTCTTGTACATACAAGTAGGCATTGCAGAAGTCACATCTGTTGCTGTATGTTGTCCCATCAGAGCCGCAGTGGGGCATATATTCCATGGTGCAGAGAGGAGAGACTTCTTGGACATCCTTGCAATGCTCCTGTACACAGAAGATAGACATGAGTCTCTGCTGGGCAGCAAAACATGGTCCCTCCAGCACAAGGAATGACACCCCCTTGAGAAATGAGACTCTCTAACATCATAATAACCAACTCAAAGTTTCCTCCTAGTGGCAGATATGATCTTGTACTATTTCTTCTCACTGCCATGTCTTTTCCTGCACAGTTACAGAGCAATGGGATGGATGTGGGCTGTTTTATGACCAGTGTGAAATTCCAAAGGGAATCTCCTCAGGTCTGCACACCACCACTCCCCTAGTTTGCAACCCAGAGCAGAGGACAGTCTCCCACAAGTGTAAGAGACATCAGACCTTGCTCTTTGTTGCCATCCCTTCCCACTCACTTTTGTAATATCCTCTTCACAGCGTCCATTCTTTCTTTTGCCAAAATTGGTCCGATGCTCCCTGGAGGAAGAAGACTATCGTGAGCCACAGCCTTCCTCGTTACAACCGCAGTGGGAGAACATAACCTCACTCCCACATAGGGCACAAGAGATTTTCAGGTGAATTAGCTTAGCATTGCCTGCACAGCAGTAGCAATAACATGCCCTTAGGGACCAGGAACATGTGTTTTGGAATAACACTCTCCTCAGTTGATGCTTTATGGGGACTCTGGGGTCAAACACCCATGTCAAACACCAACCAGGAAAATAGAGGTAGACAGACAAGACCCATCCAGCACAGGGTTTCAGAGAGAGCCCTTGCACGTTAGTTGGTGCTTAAAGACAAATCCAACCACCACCACTGTGAATCTCCCAGGGAGAAGGACGAATACTTACAGGTTGTGGGCACACAGTGTACACTCACTGGCATAAGTGACACCATCAGTACCGCAAACGGGATCGTATATCATCGTGCAGGCCATGATCTGTCCACCGTTCTCCAGCGTGGAATGTGGGTACTGGCTACAGTTGAGCTGGGCAACAAAGACAGCCAAAGCTCCAGCACAGGCTCTGCTCTGTGCAAGGATACCCAGACACAATCCCCCTGCTTATGCTTCTGCCATAGGATGAATTATAGTGATATATTAACTCATTCTTCGTGGAAAACTAGCAATTTCCTTTCATAGCCTTACACTGGAGAAGACTGAATCAAGGGTTGAAGGTAAACATCACTCATTCAGCTTTGTATTTATCATGATGCCCCTATACCTTGCTGAACCTACTGGGATATTACAAAATGCAGCTCAAAAATAATCTGCAAATCAAAATGGCATGATTTATGCACTTCCTGTGAGAGAGCTGTCTGTGACCAAGGAGTTTTTCATAGCCCACAAGAATAGAGGGGAGATGTGCTGACAGGCTTTTTGTTGCAACAGGACAGCTCTGAGTGTTGAAATCTGCCAGCAGGACTGACAGCAGTTGAAGCTGATTTACACCGGTTGAAGAACTACCCTCACATTTTAGCACTCCCAGTTTCTCCAGTGTGAGCTCTTCCTCCCTGATTTATGTATCTCACCCAGTTTGAGCACAGAGCGTACTCGGGAAACAAAGGAATGACATTTCATAGTTTGTTTGTATAGAAATGAAATATCTGACTCGGGATGTTGACTTTCAAACACATGCTAATGAGATGGCTTTGTTCTTCTATTCTCCAGTGAGTGTAAATAGTTCAGAGCTGGCCAAATATAGTTAATTTGGTATTTTTACAAGATCATTGTGGGTATACATTAGATTACATTGCATAAAAAAAAAAACAAAAAAAAAAAAACAGAGGGGGGTTTGAATCCCCGGGTACATTAGGTATCAGCATTCAAAACACGGGCAATTTTCTAATCTTCATAGAACATCCTTTTGTAAAATGCAAGCAGCCAGTAGGCACTGGATACCCTGGGCCCTCCACATCCCCTTCCCATGTTACCAAAGCAGACTGCTAATTTCCTGTGGCAGCTATGACAGACTGCTGTGGGAAAGGGATTTCTTCTTGTAAAGCCTTAAATCATTTATGTTACCTATCTCATAACTCATTCCTCAACTGTCCTCTCCTCTTTCTTTCCCTGACTGTGTGCGGGAAGTGCACAACGTTCCTGCTGCCAAGAGGGTGATATTCTCCCGCAGAAGGAAGGACAGCACAAGCTGTGACCCCTGATGGAGGCTACACCACCAAACCCAACCAGCCATTATTCCAGTTATGCAATCAGCACCAGCTCAAGCTCTTATTTTTCTTTAGGTTTCACTTACTTGGGGAACTTCCTCTATGCACCTTCCATCATGCTTCTTGGCAACATCAGTTCCAGATGCGCTGTGAGAGAAAGAGTTAAAAAATGCTCAACAAGTAACTCTGTTGAGCTCTCAGGGGGTGACCTCCAAAGCTTACATGTTATGGGCGCATAGCAGACAGTCATTGCTGTAGGTGACACCGTCTGTCCCACAGATCTCACGCAGGATGAAAGGGCAGGCGGCAATCTCTTCGCCGGTTTCGGTATTGCTCAGATATGTGCTGCAGTCAACCTGGGGGGATAGAATAACAGTGCTGGTCAGCTGCTGGGAGATGGAAGAGTGCCTCATCTGCAGTCTGCCCACTGATCCTCCAGATTTTACAAGCTTCTGCCAGAGGAAAATCAGAGGTTTAAGTTTAGTATTCCATTAGAAATGAATTTAGTAATTGTAATTGGGTTTGGTATTGTCTGCTAACAGAGGGAAGAAAGGAACTACTGTCCAAAAAGATCATTTTCCTAGAATAGTGCACATGCAAGTTTTAAAACAAGCATTTAACCCAAGGAATTTGATTTAAAGTATTTGACATTAAGTCCAGCTTGGCATAGTTAGCTAAATCTGAGATTTTCTTTCAGCTTTTCAAAACAACAAGAACTGTTTCACCAGCTCCTGTTGCAAAAATATTTACAATATATAAAATCTAACAGATCACCTATTGGAAGTCAGCCTACACCAGTTAAGCAACACTGACACTTCACTGTCATTTTGCATAGTTTCCTCAGTGCAGTGTCTCTTATTACCCATATTTCCCACATGGTCCAAGAGCAAATTAAAGCTAAGACAGCATTTTAACAGTGTGTCTTTACTATAGAAAAAAATATTGCAGTCCCTCAGGATGCATGAAGTTATTTTCAGTGTGTTAGAGCTGCTCTGCATAAGCAGAATAAATGTGTTGAGATATTATCAGCACGTATTGTTACTGTGCAGGATAATAAAGCTATTTTTGTATGCACATCTGGGAGCAGATATTTCTTGGCTGACCAGAGGATGCAGATTTTTTAACCTGCCTGTCTAGTGCAATGGAAATCTTAGCAGCAAATGAATACATGGACATCTAACACAGCCTTCTGTCTTCCTCTCCTACTGTGCTAAAATGGGCTGCATCGTTCTTGGGCTGCCTCTGACAATTTCTGTTCAGAGATCTGCAGTACTGGGACATTATGTATCTGAAGTTCTGGCCTGTTCCTGTTTTTTCTTGTCCTCGTGAACAGCACATTGGCAGCAGGTGCTGTGAGTGGATACGGAGAACCACAGCACCCGCATGAGCCCCGCGCACTAAACCTCCATGCACCCAGGAGCACAGCAGGTGTACTGAGCTGATTCTGGATAGAGAGGAGGAGATAGGACTTATGTTATACCTTGTTATACTTACAGGACTACTTTCCTCCTTGCATCTTCCCTCATGGCTTTTCTTAACTTGTGTCCCATGTTCTCTGAAAGGGAGAGGCTGGTGTTAGTGTGCTCACTGGCTAAGCCCTGTGACACCCATGTGCCACAGAAAGCAAACCAAACTCATAGCCACTATGTATATGATAAAGGAGGGATCTGATTACCTAATGAACCAGCTTCTCCTAGTCATTAGCAAGCATAATACTAAGCACCAACAGACCTATCAGGTCCCCTTGCTGTGTGCTATGCAGCAGCCCCATCCACTCTTTCATCTGTCCAAATACCACAGCCCTCATAGTGTGCTCAGATTGAGAGTTGGCTCTCCCACAGCTCCCCCGAGGAACACCAACAGAGTATCAGGGAACAAAATTAAGGTGTTAGGGGCTTCAGGAGGTTGAATGAGAAACAGAAAAGAGACATATAGCTATGTTGGTATAAAAAGAAAAGCTATCTTGACCACTAACCATGGCTAGTCATGCCAAAAGAGCATTCTATGTACAGTACTTACAGGTTATGGGCACAGATGCTACATTCATTGTCATAAGTAAATCCATCTGTGCCACAGACTGGGAGCAGGATCCTTGGACAGGGTATCCGGGCTTTACCATTCTTAATCATTCTTGATGGGTATTGACCGCAATCGATCTACAAAAGGCAGGAGTGTCAAACCTGGGGAAGTCCTTGTTCTCCGAGAAAAACCCCAACGTAACCTCCTGCTGTGTCTTTTATGCTGGGATGCTGAGACAACACTAGTGCTGCTTTTCAGTTCTTTGAAAACTAGGCTGAGTCAGTTCTGCATGAATCCTCTCATGCACAGAGGGAACTGCACAGCACTGCATAATTTGAGAGATGCCAAATCACTAGGGTAAGTAGCTCAGTCAATCCCAAACACAACATATGCCAGAAAAGAAGAAAAAAAAGAAAAAAAAAAAAAAGACAAACACATAGTCCTCTTCATTCTGCAGTATAGATATAAACAAACCACCAAAGCAGTGAAGGAATTTGGACTTTGCTAACAATGCATTTGAAGAGCATCCTCAAAGGAAGATCTAGGCCCAAACTGGCAGACTTCCACATTTATGTGCTGGCATGTCCTAGACAACAGCTCTGGGACTTTTCAGCTGATAACACTCAGATCAAAATTTCAGGTGTGCTCCATATACCAGAATATATCCCCACTCCAAAGGCTGGTGTAGGTATGAATTTATAATGCAAAGCCTGTGCCTAGCTCCCATGCAACCCATCTGCCAGGGCTGTGCAGGCAAAGAGGGCCCAGAAGACACCTTCCTCAGGACAGATGGGATTTGTAAGCATCCTCAACACAAGGGGCTGACAAGACTTAATAGACATGTGGAGAAAGCCAGCCTTCAGGCCAGCTCACTTTCAGAGTAGATGTAGCCTCAGGGAACCTTTCAGTTGATACAGCTAAGAGCAGAAATACACCTTATATTGAATACTTACCTCAGAAGTCTTCTCTCTGCATTTTCCATTATGCTTTTTGCTAACATGGGTCCTGTGTTCTCTGGAAGAGGGAAACAATAAAGTTCAACTAAATGCTTAACCTCTTGGTCACAGTCACATACAAAATGAAGTAAACCACTGCTTCAGACTCTATGAGTGTATTAGAATAGCTACATTAGTTTTCTCATTAACAAGCTCATCACATTTTCTCATAACATGCAATTTAAAGCAATATTCTGAATTATTCCTTCCTCTGCTCAGTCACTACCCAGCCTACAGACTAATCCAAGGAGCTACCATCTGACTCTTCAAGGTTTCCCCTCATGAGCACAAGGAAGGTATCAGAAGGAAGCTCAAGGTAAATCCAAAACCAATCCAGTTTCTAAAAGACTTGAGGAGACAGGAGTAAGTAAAAATGAAGAAAGATGGTTCTCAGGACTGCAAAGCACTGCTGGCTTCTTAGAGGTGCTCTATGTATGGCACTTACCCATTGTGGGCACAGATCCCGCATTCATTATCATATGTAACGCCATCTGTGCCACAAACTGGACTCAGGTTCCTTGGACAGGATACTAATACTTTGCCATCTTTAGTGGTTTGTGTTGGGTACTTACTGCAGTCAATCTGTCAAAATAAGGAGAATTAGCTCTCAGGGAGCCCTTGCTGTGTGAGAAAAGTTGATGCAAAACCTTTTCATTCTGCATCCCAGCCTCCATTATTTCAGAAACAGGACAAAGTCCTGATACACTGAAGCTAAATCTTCGATTAGAAATGAGCTTTCTGAATATTATCCTAAATACCTAGGAGTCAAGAAAAAGGACTGTCTTGGAGAAGGGATCCTTCACACAGAAGAACATGTACAAAATTTTCAGCCCATTCTCATAAAAAAAAAAAAAAAAAAAAAAAAAAAAAAAAAAAAAAATCTTGAATTTAGTGGGAAACATTTTTCACCATCTGGAAGTCTGACTAATACTGTTTTGGTTTGTGTTGGTTTTCTCCCCACTTCTCCAGCTCTATGATTACTTATTACTTTAGATTCCCTGTTGTTAAGCACAGGGTTTGAAAGGATAGAGAAAAAGTGGTTATCGATCAGTTGGAGAATGGATTTTCAACATCCCAGAATTTTGGTGCTCAAATATAGAAGCTTCTCTCTCTTTCTAAGGCACCAGACCGTTGGCCCTGTACAAACATACAATAAAATATACTCTAGAAATATCTATGCTTAGTGCTCTTATGAGTGTCACTGTGTCTGTGAAAGCAACCAGCATGGGACCTTTGAATCCCCAATGCAAAGGGTGGAAAGGCTTGAGATCTCCAGAGAGAAAACTGTTGACCTGCACAACATTTTGGCAAGTGAAATCTTGAGCCTCCCCTTCCCCTGGGCACAAAAGCCAACTTAGTACTTGGGAAAGTGAGTTCTGCAGCACAGGCTCACTGCAGCTTCTCATTACATATCCATCTCCCTTCTCCTTCACTGGTTTGGTGTGGTACGCATATGACCCTTTCTTTGGAGCAGGGAAGAGGCAAAATCCACCCTCACTGTGCAGAAAATGGACTGGGACCCTCATAAGCCTTGTCATATGGTCCTCTTGCACTTTCCTAGGGAACTCTGTGGTGTTCTCAGAATTCTCTCTCATAATAGCCCTAAGAGATAGATTTTTGACTTCTATTGCACTTACAGTGACAACCTCCTTGCATTCTCCATCATGCATTTTGCTAACGTTGGTGTTATGTTCTCTGAAAGAAAGAGATACTGTGGTTAGGAAACCTTGAGAATAATTTTCCCATTACACTCCAGGCACTGGGACAAGAAAGCGAGGTCCCACCTGTCTTGTGGGACACTACAGCTGCTTGAATTCTCTGAATGTGCCCAGCGGATGGTAGCAGCAAATGCACAGTGTTTCCATACCAAAAGGTAATTAGTTATTAGGACTAATTAGGTGTTACAAGTAACATTTTGATTTGTTCATGACTCTGCTCTGGATTGTCCTCTGGTTCTTTTGTGATTTATAAGCAGCCAGCTCCAAAGAGACCAAGAGAGGCACCTACTTTAAGACAGACTAGCATTTTACAGAAGTGCTTCTGAGAGCCATAACTACCACTAATGATCCAGAAGGAAGTTCTATGCACAAAACTTACGCATTATAAGCACAGATCCCACAGTCATTGTCATAAGTGAAGCCATCTGAGCCACAGATTGGTTTCAGTATCCTTGGGCATGCTACCATGATGTGACCATCTATTACAGCTCTTCGGTACATACTGCAATCAATCTGTAAAAATAGTAGGAATAGAGGGAAAAGATCTAACGCTCCTATGTAGTCTGCTTACTCTCCCCCAGCCTTTGGGGACAAATCCAGCATCAAACTAATTCCATTATCAAAAGTGGAAGCCAGAGTCAGTTCTGTGGGAATTCTCTCCTGCTGAATCATAGCAAGAAGGGCTGTGATTTGGATTTTGTGAGGTCCTTCACAAGATCCTGTTGGAGCTCTCCGGGTGGTGAGATCCAACCTTCAGACAACACAACATTTTCATTTTATTCCCAATTACAGAGGCTAGAAGTTTGAATTAGAAAAGCACAGAGACATGATACCAGACAGCCCATAAAAACCCTCTCAGCTTTGGTTATCATCAGATTTGAATTCCCTTTGGGCTGTGCAGACCAGCTGCACACACTCTGTTTTCCTCTTGAGTGGCCTTTGAACTGTCCCCTTTTACAGCCAACTGAAGTTTTCCATGGACTTTGTCTTACCATAGTAGGTTTTGGCTCGCATTCTCCATCATGCACCTTCTCCACACTGGTCCCGTGTTCCCTAGAAGAAAGCAAGCCTGTATATCAGGGATCATGGGGAGCAGCATCACCTTGAGGCTGGTAGTGTCAGGACCCAGCTGCTAACTCACATGCTCCTCTGCCCCATCCATCTTTGGAGGATGGAGCTGTCACCCTTACCTCAAGTCTCTTGCCATGGAGCTTTTACTGGGTTTCCAGCAATACTCACTGGTTGTAGAAGCAGATCCCACACTCGTTGCTGTACGTGTTGCCATCGGTGCCACAGACTGGCCTCAAGTTCCTTGGGCAAGCTACTAGGGCCGTCCCATCCTTGCCAATGCTCTTGGGATACTGGTTGCAATCAACCTGCAAAAACAGCGCAGAATCGGCCCCAATCTTGACTCTCTCATGGAAAAAAACCCCCATGCAGCCTCCCACCACCGCAGCCACAGCGCCTGTAGCTCCTGCCAGGAGGTAAATTAGAGGTATTATTTTGAATCTGCTCAGGCAGTCAGGAGGAGTGAATCTTCTCTACAGAAGTTTCTGATTATGGCTTCCTGCTGGGGTCCAGGGGGGGGCAGGATTGCTGTGGGTGAGACGGTGCCTAATGAAGGCAGCTGGTAAATTGGGAGCCTGGCTGTACACCAGAGCCCCTCAGCTCAAAATCTGATCATTTCAAATCGGGCTGCAGTGTCTGGTGATTTACAGGAGTCTCATAACTGCACAGGAAGAACCTGCAGACAAATCCATCACACAGACCCTGCTGTTTTCCTCTCTATGATATAGTATAGAAAACCTGTGCAAGGAACACTGTTCTTTGGGACTTACTGTGTAGAAAAAAATGATCAGAATCACAGTCCTTGATGCTTTCAAGCATATCTTCAGACAGTATTCCTGATGAGAAAGTAACCTACTGCCTTTGGCTTGATGTAACTAAATTGTGGCTAAGACTTAATATTATAGGATTATGTAATTACTTCTCGCTTTCTTCATTTTATTTAATGAACAGAAAATATTGTAAAAAAAAATGGGGGATTTTTAACTTTCTTGTGAAACTGGCAATATCATTCAGTCATGCACTGGCAAATATTATTTGAACAGCTTTCATTAGATTTAATCCACTTGCTCATCAGGTAATTAAATACTGCTTCTACTTTACCAGAAAACTGGAGTAGAACAGAGTAAATAGATCTGTAGCTCACCTCAACTCCAAATGTAATACCTGAAATAAAAAAAAATTGAGACAGAAAAGAAAAATAAATAAATAAAATTATTGATACAGAGAGAAAATATATGTAAATATTTTCATGAAGCTGTTAAATTCAGTGACTGTTATTGACTAGTTTATTTGGTTTAGGAAAATATGGAGTTTTACATTATGCCAGTAAATGGTCATAGGATGTATTAGAAATTACTAAATAAAGTTTCATTGTACATTTGAGGGAAGAGCACATATATTAATCCATCCCTAAGATGTTACAAGCAAGGTATACAGGTACTTTCAATTCTGTACTCTTGGATTTTAACCTCTTTATATTTGACTTTCAAAAGTTTGGACATGCGTGTTTAAGATGACTGTTGACCACTGGCACTGTCCATCTCCAAACACATCCTTCTCAGTTACCAGCAAGAGGCCAGTAAACTTACAGAGCAATCCTAGAGGTTAAAGTTTGCATTTATATAGCTCACGTAGATGCAGATATCATTTCTAAGTTTTACTTCGCCCTTACAGTACTTCCATGTGCAAGGTTCTGCCCTGCACTAGGATGGCTCTTTCAGCTATTTGCTCCTACAAACCAAGAAGATTAAAACAGTTGCCTGTATGAGGTTTGCTGAAATGGAATAAGGCTCTCCTGCACATTATCCAAATACTGTTACAGAATTGAAAATTCAGTTCTGATTCAGCTAGATCAACTTCTGCAATATCCCACGAAATACTCACCTAAGCAGCAGCAAAAGGCTAGAACTGCCTCCACAAAAAGCCCTCTTATCTTCATGGCAGATGGATGTACTGCTCCAGTGCAGCCAGCTAGCTCTCTGTGTGCGAGAGGAAGATTGCAGGTAGAAGCAGGAATATATAGCACACCATGGTATCAAGTGGTCCCACCTTATTAGGTAATACTACATGTCTGTCATCAATGTTCAAAGCCAAAAATATATTTACCCGGCTCTAGATTTCTAGGTAATAATTGACACAGGTGTGTATACCAGGAAAAGACCTTTTGCATGGCTCAAGGGGAGTGGGAAGTGTGCCAGGACCCCTCTCCTCCCAGATGGACCTGCTCCAGCCCTGGGCTGCCCCTCACAAGGCTGCGGCATATTGCAGGCTCATATCTACCCTGCAACTGGTTAAATGCAATTAGACCTTCCTCCTCCTCTACAGTTTTCAACTGAGTTACCAGCTGATAGCCAAAACCCTCATTATTTAACCTCAGAGCATGATTTTGTACTCTTCACTGCTGTATTTCATCCCAGTTTGAGCCCAGGTAATTTCAGCCCAGAAGGTCACCCTGTGCTCTGCAGGAGAAATTCTGCTCTTCTCCTCTTTTAAAAATCTCAGCAGTGCTCTGCTCCACGTGCCAACTTTTTCTGTACTACAGTAAGGAGAAAAAAATATTAAGTTTGGTCCTAAAATCTATCTTTTTGGCTATTCACTGATAATTCCCATGGTACCCTCTGCTCATCTGCTACCACCTTCCCCATGGCTAGTTCCTGACCCACCTCACCAAGCCTAGGTGACATCATCCCACAGGGCAACAGGACAAATGCTTTTGATGTCTACACAGACTGAATGTACTGTATTTCCTTTATCTAGGAAATAAGCCAACTTTGCAAAGGTTGGTATTAGCCCATGCATGGTTTCCTTCCTGAAAATTCACTGTGTACATCATCCCTTTACACTTTATATCTTTAGTTTTCTTCAAATTTCTCCTGAAGGTTTGCCTGTTTATTAAGATAACAGAACTTGGGTTCATCTTGAATGTTCTTTTTGTCCTTTATTTAAGGAGACTTTTGGCAATTCTTTGTATTGGTCTCAATCCTAGTCTTCTCATTTAGGATCCTAAATTCTCCAAATTTCTCACTAACCTTCAATCTTTCAAATTCTGTACTTAGTAATCAAAATCCTTACTTGCAGATCTATTTTTGACATAATTTAAACAGAGTGAGCTCATGTTGAATCATCCCAGTTTTATTTTCTAAGAGAAGGACATCTCCAACATCTTTCTCACTTGAAAACCAAATCCACAATAACATCATTTTGGAGATTACTTAATAGAAAATTCTATTTGTTTTCATATCCAGGAGCTTTGCTAATATTAGTAGTTTGCAGTCTGTATCTGCAAAGCTAAAGTCTCCCCAAATGCCAGCATTTCCAGCTATATTAATTTCTAGTGACGTTAGAGAGATCTCTATTCATATATCTTGTTTTCATTCCTTGCTCCTGATACTCATCCCGGATGTCTCCTGCCCTGTCTCTTATCTCAGTTCCATCAAGTGTCAAGGACTCTGGGCCTTTGGATCAATGCAGGCCTTGACTACAAGGACCTCTGTTCATCCTGATTACAATATCTATCTCTCAGGGCTTATTCCATCCAGGACTACCATCAATTAATGCTTCCTGGCAGAGGAAAATGTATCTTGACAACTTAATTGCCAGACCCTGTAAAAGCTGTCATGGTCAAGCAAATTCCTGCCAACGTCCATGGAGATGACACCTGAATCTTATCAGAAAGGAGATATTATTTGCAAACCAAATCTGCAGTTAAAATAGATGGACTCAGCATGTTCTGTCAAGATCACAGCAATTCTTTTCCAATTAAGTTATTAATTTTTGGGAATAATTTGCAATAAGAGACAGATTAAAGGGACAGAACAGCGAACACCTGTCAAGGATCTAGAGAAGGAACTGGGATTTAGAAAACATCACCGCAGCTATAGCACGTGTCTGCTGTCCCCCACATCAGCTGAGGCACACAGTGCTCAGCTCTGGGCTCCTACCCTGTGCACAGGGAAGATCTACACTGCAACCCTGCAAGTGAGCTGCCTGCTTCACAGAGAACGATTCAGCAAAGCTTTTTGCACCATGATTTGTCCATCAGAACAGAGCCTTCCAGGACCAGAGCAGAAGGTGCAGCACATCGTACCCACGCTGGACAGGGAGAACTTTGGTTGTCCCCATGTTTACACTCTTGTGTTTGTGCAGCTCCCACTTGCAGTCACACTGTGTTGATATCTCCCTGTTTATTTTTCCCTTCACCAGGCACGTCAGGAGAGGGAGGCCCTGGAAAGCCCACCTGGCTGTTCAGCCCTGGATATGGACACTCTGCTCCTTTTTTCTGCTGCCTCTCCAGGTTACCTCTAGTCACAGCTGTGAATCACCTGTCACCATTTCTGCAGAATTTCACTGACATGGGCCAAGAAAGGAAGCAAGCCCTTTGAGGCCAGAAGGCATTAAAACCAACTCACCTGTTTGTCAGAAGTATAAGTAGAAATTGTCTATACCTCCCATCCACATACCAAGCATGCGGTTGTTACTACACCTAAACTAAATTGTTTCTTTGGGGACCTTCAGCATCAAGGTGAATCATGAATTCTCATATGGATTTGTGATTTGCAAGTAGTTACATTTATATCTTACTATTTCCAATTAACAATTTGAGTGGACTTACTCATACCCTCATATAGGGGAAGCATTGAAAGTTCTCATGTTGTAGTCCTGGTGGGAGGGCCGGGCAGCAGGAGGGCTCCTACAGCAACTGGAGCAGGGAGATCCCAAGGAAATGGCCTGAACAAGAGCTCCCTGTAGTAGGGAGGCCCTCGTAGGAAAGGACAGATGTGTTAACAGATGCCAAGCAGGAGCCCTAAAGAGAGGAAAGGGAGAGGTCCATTCACTAGGATAGAAGCAGATGGGACACAGAGCAGAAGTTGTGATAATCAAGGCAAATAATGCTGAAACCCCCAGCACCTATACACAGCAGCTGCTTGGTGGGATTAAGCGTCACAGGGATGAAGGGAGAGCCAGAAAAGAGAGTTCTGCAGCAGACCCAGAGGGACTTCACTGCACAAATGGCATCAGGCTCTCCATGTCATGATTCATTCAGTTCTTAGGGAAGCAAATGCCCCTAAACTGCAAGATTTAGGGCACTATCTACTGTGGCAGACTGTGAGAGGTCCCCTGGACCCACCATGCTGCCATGCATAGGCTCTTCCTCCCTGCTGGCTGCAAGAGCAGCTGGGAGGTAGTGAGCAGAGCTACCAGGCTCCAAAAGGACAGACTGCAGAGGATCGAGAAAAACCACGGTGAGTTCAAAGTCTGCTGAGGCATCTGCCAAAGTCAACAGTCCTCATTATACACTAAAAGCAGCATTTGCACGCCTCCCAAAGTTGTGTAAGTTCCTGACACCTTTTATGAAAGAAAAAGCAAGTCTCAAGGCTCCTGTAGAGTCCTTTAGCTCAAAACCCAACCATGCTGTGAGGCCTGGAGACTGAAGCTGTTGATTCATAATGCCAGTTCTGCAAAACCTCACGAACTGCTGTAAACCACATTGGCAAGAGACACCCTTAATAATTACAAAGAATCATTGAATCATTAAGGTTGGAAAAGACCTGTAAGATCATCCAGTCCAACCATCAACTCATCACCACTGTGCCCACTAAACCATATCCGAGTGCTACACCTACGCGTTTCTCAGACACCTCCAGGGATGGTGGCTCCACCACTTCCTTGGTCAGCTTGTTACAATATCTGACTGCTCTTTTGGAGAATAAATTTTTCTTAATATCCAACCTGAACCTCCCCTGGCACAACCTGAGGCACAGCAAACTGAAAACTCCCCAAGAGCACTGGTACCATTCCAGGTTCATAGAGGACTGTTTTGGCCCTCATTACTGTGTTAGAGGCCAACACAAAGGGTAACCAAGAGCAAACATAAAAAAGAAGGGTAATAAATCCCCGACACCTCTTGAGCCTTTGCCTCTTCCTCCCCAGGAACCTCAAAGAAATAAATAACACGCGGCTTCTCTCCTGCAGAGTCCTGCTGCGCGCAGTGCTGCTCAGAACAGACATCATCATCATCATCATCATCGAGTCCTCAGAGTGACCTGCAAAAGGGGGTTGAAAGCAGGAAGGGACTGAGCAGACAGGCTGCTGGGAGCAGAAAGGAGTTAGCATTGCTACCTCTGGTAGGTCATTAATGACAGCATAGGTGTTTTTTAGCAAGTCACTGTCCTGGTCCTTCTCAGCAGACCGGTTTGGAATCTGATTAACAATCCCTTTTGCCAGCTGCGATTTTCGTGGATGATAATTTCTGCTACCAGCAGGAGAAATTCAGAAGGTGCTCAAATACTGACAGAAGAGGCTACTAAGGCACTGTCTTCATCAGTTCATTGCTTTTTGAGCACGGTTAATGCAGGTTTTATGTGTGATTATTTCAAAACCTAAATACTTGAAATCACTACAAATCATAATAGCTTTCAAGTGCACTGATTTTCATTTGCAAGAATTTATTTTAAGCCCTAAATTGTGCACTGCCTTTATGAAATCACGTAGATGTCTCTGCACATTATTTTAGCTGGAATCAGTGAGCAGACATAATCAGAGAACATTTTAACTGTCTGATATTCATCATTCTTGGGCTGCATAAATAATATTCAAGAATTTACTTGTTTCATCACAGCTCAAAGGTAGACAAATTTTACATCCCACAAAACCAGCTAACCAGGACCAAACTGGTGACTTTTGTCCTGCATAACTGTACTTGGTGAGGGGAGTTTCCCAATAGAAATAGGCAGTAGTAATTTATTTCTAAATCATAGCATTTGCTAACATTAAAAGTCAGCATACAAAATATTAACAACTACTTATGTCAGTCTTCTGATAATAAAATCAGATTTTCTTATTATCAGCAGAACTAAAATATGATACATGCGTAAGCATTTTGAGAGTCCAAAAATCGATTCCCATTAACTGCAGTAGAAAAAAAGCATTTGATAACTGAAAAAAAAAAATTCTGTGTCTCTGTGGGTGTAAAATTAATTGCTATTAGGTAAAATCTTGCCAAAATCTGAAAGACA